ATTTTTAATAAAAATATTTTAATAAAAAAATATTTTACTAGCCATGGTCGGCGACCAGGCCATAGCCCAAAAAAATAAAAATGTATATTTTTAATAAAAATATTTTAATAAAAAATATTATTAATAAAAAATATATTTTACCGACCATGGCCAAAAAAATAAAAATATTATTAATAAAAAAAATATTTTACCGGTCATGGCGGCGACCGGACCATGGCCAAAAAAAAGAAAAAATACTTTTAATAAAAATATTATTAATAAAAAAAATATTTTACCGGTCATGGTCGGCGAAGCAGAGGCTATGGCCAAGAAGGAGGAAAAGAAAAAAAAAAAAGAAAAAAGAAAGAAATATTAAAATATTTAAAAAATATTATTAATAAAAAGAAATTTTGTGGCGTTACCAAACGCATTTCTGTTCTTTTTCTATTCCGGGGATGGAATTTTGGGCGTTAACAAACGCCTTAAAATGCTTCGAGAATCAATTAGGACACGGAATAAAAAGAATCGTTTGAGCGAGAATGTTGCTCCAGGGCATGAGAATCGTTGTCATGCGAGCCTAAGTATACATTACGCGGGGAAGAAATTCATACACAATTCCCTTTGATGGTAGTTTTGCTTCTTCCTGTGCATTCTATTTGATTTCTAGAGTGCTGCAATGGAAGAGAGATTAGTTGTGTATCATTATAGATGCTATCTCTTCTGTTATTTTGCCAGCCATGGTTAAGAATCAAGTTTATCACAGACTTCTCTTGCTTTGAAGTTGCTGAGACAATATAAGAAGGGAAAGAATTTTTTCCAATAATAATCACGTACAATGGGAGGAAAGGTCAATTAAACACATTTCTTCTGACCGTTTGATGGCAAGCCCTTATTAAGGATATGACATATGACTAGCCTGAAGTTCACTTGGCCATTGATATAAGCAATAAATGTCAGGATCACTAATTGGCTATGACTGGAGGCATATGCAGCAATAATGGTTCATCTTGGTTATAGAAGGCCCTCTAGGACAACTATAATAAAGACTTGTATGTTTGATTATCGAGGAATCATTGTTATTTTATTGGAATGGCTACAATACCTGAATGAAGAGGGAAACATTACCATTGGAGCTTGTGCAATAATTACTCGGTCACTTAGTCTCAACTTTGCTGGTCATCTTCTTAAAAATACTATATTGTGTTCACATCATTTTATTGCACCCTAATCTAAAGCAATGAGCTCCACTGAAGTGTGGTTTGTAATTTGCAGGTGACCCCCAATCTTTACGGGAATCTGGTTGCAAATACAGCAGCTGGCATAGCTGGTGGAACTGGAGTCATGCCGGGAGGTATACCTTAATATTCCATCACATTCTAGTATTCTTCCTATGTTTCATTCAACGTGACTGAAAATTGCTTCTCGTGAGGTACATTTATGAATTGTAGGAACTAGGATGTGACATGGAGCTACTTGAGAGAGGGAGAATCAAATTGTGTCGGACTCTAAATAGAACTTTCTGGCCCTTGTTTATAAAATAACATCATGTGCTATTCAACTTGTGCCCTAGTTCTTTGGAACAGACAAGAAGTGCCTTAGCTCTTGCCATCTAAAAAAATGAAGTTCTGAACAGAACATATATTTTTTTGTAGGTAATGTGGGGGCTGATCATGCCATTTTTGAGCAAGGCGCTTCAGCAGGTAATGTGGGTCATGAAAAGCTAGTCGAACAAAAGAGGGCGAATCCTGTAGCCCTGCTTCTATCATCTGCCATGATGCTGAGGCATCTCCAATTTCCATCATTCGCTGATAGGCTAGAAACAGCTGTGAAGCGAGTAATATCGGAGGGAAAGTACCGGACGAAGGATCTAGGCGGAGACAGCACTACACAAGAGATCACTGATGCAGTCATACAAGCTTTGGACTAATCTACAAGATATCTTCATCCTCTAAACTTCTGGAGAAATTTGTTGACCGGGCATGGAAATCTATATTGCCCACATTCTTGATAAAATCTTCTTTTCACATAATTATTTGGGACTTCACCTAAATCCTATTTGTTTTATGAATAATCTCAGTTAAACATGAAAACAACAGCAGGTCTTGGTTAGATGAGACAGCGCAGTTTTCTTAACCGAATTTTGCTGTACGTTATCTGAGGATGGCGACATCCTCAATGTAAACTTGAGAATTCAAGTTAGATGGGGGAAACTCGAAGTTTCATGCCGTGTCTTAATATGTCGAATGCGTTTTATGATTATATCTCAATTTCCCTCCGCCCGGCTCGATTTCCTCTACCCTGATGTGTTTTGCTGGTTGTCTACTGACTTCCTAGAGTCAACATTGCCCTCAATCCTCTTCTCAAGCCCCGTTGATGGAGGCAAAACATCATTAGGTTTTCAATTTCTGATTTTGATTCGGAATGGAGCATGAGAAACAGGGGCATGGTATATTGATCGACGCTATCGCTCGCTCTTGCTACCTACAAGCACGCTCCCAAACAGCATGAATCGCTGCTTACAAGATCCATTTGATGATAGTCTAGTCTGTCTACCTTGTCAAGATTGAAGAGATCTTATTCTCTAAAACTCCCAAGCTTACGAGTTTTGGACTTTGAGGAGCAGCGAGCACTGTAGAGACGGGTTTAGATAACTAAATCTCTACTTTCTACTTTGCCAGATTCACTAATTTAGTCAGATCCACCAGTTTCCACTATGGGAATTGGGATAAGAGGTCGCTGCTCAAAGATGAACATGGCACGATACGGATCTTCCGAATCCCAACGGATTATGACTTGTTATATTTATTAGTAATTGAACTGCAACATGGCTAGACATGGCCACGGTTCGGAACTGGTAGTTCCGGTTTGTGGCCACGTATGAATCGGAACCGGCGGTTCCGAGCCGGTTCCGGTTCCGGCCAGGTTTGGAACCGGCCGATAAAAATTAAAAAAATAAATTATGAAATAAAAAAATAATAAATTATCAAATTATGAAATAATGAATTATTCAATATAAAATGTAATCAAAATGTACATTGTAATTAAATTTGGGGAAAAAAAGAGTTTCTCCACTTATCTGTAATTTGTTTTTTGGAACCGGAACCGGGCCCGTAGGCCACGGGCCGGTTCCGATTCTGAACCGCGGGCCCGGTCAACGGGCCGGTCCCATTTGACCCGGGCCGAAATCGGCCCGTGGCCATGTCTAAACATGTCGTAATGTACAAAAGTTTAAAATATGGTGCGAGGGGATAATTGAGTGGATCGTCTGGAACATCACGCAAACCATGGGCACGAAAGTAAACTCTGACACACAAGTTCTCTTTTTGCAAAGCCCCACATAAAATAATCGTAGAATTTCCGCTTACATCCCAACAATCAAGGAAGCCCCATCGATCCTTTCCATTCCTTAACGGTGCGCATGAATACTTTTGTGCCCGGGCGCTATTTCTGAACAGAAATAATTTTTTTTTGATTTTATGCTCGGAAACAATTTCTGAGTATTTGAAGGCGTTTGATAAATGTCCAAAATTTCTATTCCTAGAGTAGAAAAGAACAGAAATACGTTTGGTAACTACACAAAATTTCTGTTCCCAAATAATAGTTTAATAATATTTTGAATTGTTTAATTTTTTTTTTCTTTTTACTTTCTTCTTTGGCCATGGCCGGCGAGGGCGTCACGGACCTTGCCGGCCGCCGGCGGAGGCGAGGGTCGCCCTCGCCGGCAAGGGCGAGGTGGACCCTCGCCGCCCGGGCGAGGCGGCCTCGCCCGAGACGGCGAGGCTCGGCCTCGCCCAGTCTGGCGAGGCCGAGCCTCGCCGTCGCGACCCACGGCGAGGTCGGCCGCCGTGGGTCACGACGACGAGGCTCGGCCTCGCCGGATCTAGGCGAGGCCGAGCCTCGCCGTCTCGGGCGAGGCCGACCTCGCCGTCGCGACCGACGGCGAGGCTCGGCCTCGCTCGATCTGGGCGAGGCCGCCTCGCCCGGGCGGCGAGGGTCCGGCCCTTGCCCTCGCCGGCGAGGGCGACCCTCGCCTCCGCCGGCGGCCGGCAGGGCCGTGACGCGCCCTCGCCGGCCCGGGGTGGCCGGTTGCCGGCCGCGGCACGGCGCCGGCTCGCCAGGGAACAACACACAAAATAAGAAATGAAAAAAAGAAAAGAAGAAAAAAAACGATTCTCAAAATTGTCTTAGAAACAAGAAGCAACTTTTTTACTTCTTGTTTCTCTTCCAAAATTGTTTCTCGGCACAAATTTTTGCAAAAATGTGCCGAGGAACAAAAAGTTTACCAAACGCATTTCTGTTCCCAAACTATTTCTGGGAACAAAAGAACAGAAATTTTCACTATTTGGCACGTTACCAAACGGGCCCTAAATGTTAAGGCATGCTCCCTCCGCAAAGAAAAGATTAAGGGATAACGACGTAAATAATAATGTAATTCTTAAAATTTTAATTTATTCAGAATAATTTTTTTAATTTTAATTTAATATTTAATATAATTCCTGAATTTTTATTTTGAATAAAATGATCTATGAATTTTTGGTACATGTTCAATATAGTCCTTAAATTATATGAAAATATTTATTATAGTCCTTACATTAATTCAAGTTTAGGGACTACATTAAACATTTTCATACAATTTAAGCACTAAATTGAATATGTACCAAAAAATTCAAGGATGATATTGAACAAATTAAAAGTTCAGGGATTATATTGCATATTAGGTTAAAGTCCATGGATCACATTGAATAAATTAAAAATTCAGGAAATATATTGCACATTAAGTCAAAATTCAGGGACTGTTTGTGTCGTTTTTTCAAGGATTAAATCTTTGAATATGCAAAAAAAAGTAAGTAAGAAAGAAAAAACCAAGAACTTGACGGGTTCCACGTTGGCTGCATCTGAATGATTCTCTAACGAGCATCGGATTATCCAACGTACTACCCACCACTGAAAGCTCTGTTTTTCCTGCTTGTTTCCTTTCGGCGCCTCCCAGTTTTCGTGTTCTCTGCATAAAGGACAAGAGCTCTAGATAAAGACGAGCTGTAGATAAGCCCTCGAATTTTCTTGATCACCTCAGCTTTTTCTGAACACTCTTTGAGCTCGATCACGATTTCTTCTCACTTTCTCCGTCAACATGAACCGGTTCTTCAAGAACTCACTGACCCACCATCTCTCTCTCGGCCTCAGGCAGGTCGGCACCAGATTCAGGAACCGCCCTCGCGGTTTCGCTCGCTGGGGTGGCGGCGATGGCGGCGATCCCGAGCCAGAGTCGTGGAGATCAATGGAGGGTCTCGTCCGTTGCTCGGCCAATTACGCCCCTCTTACTCCCATCAGCTTCTTGGAGCGGTCGGCCAAGGTCTACAGGGACGCGACCTCGGTGGTGTACGGCGACGTGAAGTACACTTGGAGTGAGACTCACGAGCGGTGCCGTAGAGTGGCCTCTGCTCTGTCCCGGCTGGGAATTTCCCGGGGCGATGTGGTGAGTCGGAGTCCGAGTTGGTTCTGAGTTCAATACCCTGTCATGGTCTGTATCGTCAGGCAAAATTTGGTCGTTTGAAACGCAAATAGTTATGCATTGGTTCAGGCGAATAATTCGTATTAAGTTCACTGGTACATACCTTCTGGTTTGATTCATGAGTTGTATCTCTTTCTTTTGTCTGCTGCATCAGTTTCTTCATCTAGGCAAAATTTGATCCGTTCTGGTTTGATTTGTGTGAAACTTTGTTTCGGTCCATGTGCCTCAAATTAACACCTTTCTCCTTCAAAGGGTATGGAAAATGATGACTGGAATTGTCTTCTCTGTTAGTGTGTGATAATGATTCATCTAGTTCATGGCAGTGATTTGACTTACAGATGAGAGAGGATTAAGCTTTGGGTGTTGTATCTCTGAACAGGTGGCCACCTTGGCTCCCAACGTCCCTGCAGTGTACGAGCTGCATTTCGCGGTCCCCATGGCTGGAGCGATCCTCTGCACGCTCAATGCCCGGCATGACCCATCCATGTTGTCCATACTTCTGAAACATTCAAGAGCCAAGATCATTTTCGTGGACTGTCAGCTACTCGAAGTTGCTCGCTGCGCAATTGATATGTTCAACAAGACAGAAACAGAACCCCCGATTCTAGTCCTTATTTCTGAATCGGATGGTTCTGTTCCTCTGCATCCTTCAGGCATTTGCGAGTATGAAGGGCTCGTGGCCTCGGGGTCCGACGATTTCGAGGTGCGCCGACCACGCAATGAATGGGATCCTATCAGCATAAACTATACTTCCGGGACGACATCACAGCCCAAAGGAGTTGTCTATAGCCATAGAGGTGCGTATCTAAATTCGATCGCGACATTTCTTCTTCATGAGATGGGCTCGATGCCGGTTTACCTGTGGACAGTGCCTATGTTTCATTGCAACGGATGGTGCTTGACTTGGGGAGTTGCGGCACAAGGCGGCACCAACGTGTGCCTCCGAAAAGTCTCTCCAAAGGCAATTTTTGATAGTATTGCTATGCATAACGTGACTCACATGGGTGGAGCGCCGACTGTCTTGAATATGATTGTTAACTCAGCGGTAGATGATCGACGGCCTCTTCCTTGCAAGGTGGAAATCATGACGGGCGGTTCGCCGCCGCCTCCACAAATCCTATTCAAGATGGAAGAGCTCGGTTTCAGTGTGTCGCACTTGTATGGCTTGACAGAAATTTACGGTCCGGGGACGTACTGTGCGTGGAAGCCCGAGTGGGACTCTCTGCCCTCTGACCAAAGATCAAAAATCAAAGCTCGACAAGGGGTGCAACATCTCGGCCTCGAGGAAGTCGACGTTAGAGATCCAGTCACAATGGAGAGCGTTCCTAGTGATGGTAAATCTCTAGGAGAGATCATGTTCAGAGGCAACACTGTCATGAGCGGGTACTATAAGAATCAGGAAGCGACGGACAAGGTATTCGAGGGCGGATGGCTTCACAGTGGAGATCTTGCAGTGAAGCATCCCGATGGCTACATCGAAATGAAAGATCGTTTGAAAGACATTATAATTTCGGGAGGAGAAAATATAAGCACCGTGGAGGTAGAGACAGCTCTGTACAGCCATCCGGCAGTTCTAGAGGCCGCGGTGGTCGCGCGTCCCGATAATCATTGGGGCCAAACGCCTTGCGCATTCGTTAAGTTAAAGGAGGGATGTGACGTCGATGCTCAGGAGATCATAGGATTTTGTCGAGAGCATTTGCCTCATTACATGTCTCCTCGTACAGTCGTGTTCGAGGATTTGCCTAGAACTTCGACTGGAAAGATACAAAAGTTCATTCTGAGGGAAAAAGCAAAGGCCATGGGCAGTCTCTCATGAACCAAGCATTTCACAATCTATCCCCACACTTTATGTGATCATTATTATGTAATGTCTCACAATTGACAGATTTTCTCACAGTCGATGGTTCACAAAAGGTTTTTGGAGGTGACTAATTTGTGTTATTCATCATTTTGACCCACAGAATGGCGAATACAGTTCATGGGACCTAAGAATAGGTATATCAAATTGCTCTTCTGGTATGCATTACATGGATACATCGAAATGAATGTGGCTTCTTGCTTGCCGGCCAGCTTCCATCTCTGTTACATTTCATCGAACTAAGAGGAAATTAATCTTTTTTGCCTTGGCAGTTTCGCCGTGTAATCTTTTAGCTCATGCAGATGCTCGTGCTCTATACTGATTTAAATCTAGGCGGACGATGTAGGGATGTTCAACTGAGCCGCAATTCATGTAGCCAGTGTCCTCTCTTCACTCTGCTGGTTAACGACGGTAATAGTGTGCGAGCGGATTTCCTTCCAGATCCACCATGAATACTCCCCCGTTCTTATCGAGTCGGGGTTGCTAAGTTACTGTTCCAGCATCGCCATGACATTTTGGATGGGAGGGTATTTGAGCGCCGGCTCTGTGTACGCCGTCTTTGCCTGCCAAAGCAGCAGGTGTTCAGATCATGAGCGCTCGCTCAGCATGAATCCCATCCGCTGATGCATCATATTGAACAGAGAATAGCATATGTATGCTTATGAACTTACCGCAGCTATAGCGATCCAGTAGTAGCCTTGTCCGTCGTAGTGGATATCATCCGGCATGCCAGGTAAGTTGATCGATGAATTTGTTTTCCTTTCCCTTCCACTCGCCGGTTAGGTAATATCTTCGGCACATGTGCCTGCAATTATCGAGCCAATTGACAGGTTGAACTTTGCGTTCTATTCATCTAGACCCATCAATAGTAGTTCCAATGCTTCCGACATCTTCGGGGAAGCATTTTAAGATAGAGTCGCCGATGCGAAGGACTCGATGAATCATTTAATCCAGTGATACCAGTGTGTACTTAAATGGTTGTCCCATGAAATACGACGAAATCTGGATTGGGTGAAACTGCGATGCCATTTGCGAAGTAGAGGTCACGGACAAGCGCTCGAGTATCCTGGTCATGGGATCGAAGCTCACGAACTACCTTCCGAGATGGGGCTGAATTATATTCCCCTATTCAAATTTTAGCAGAACTGGGATGACCTGGTAATCCCGGTTTTTCGAATACACTTATTATATAGAATGCGATACATGCGAAATTTCGTGAAATTCCTTATACTATATATGTAAGTTGTTCAAGTATATGACATCGGGATTGATATGAAGTATCGAAAATTAAATGTTTCATGACCCATAACGATGATCGAGTTCTTCATGTATGCTGGGAGAATTTCTACCGTATTTGAGGAAATTACCACCACCGGACATGCCCATGACAGCAGGTTATCTTGAAAGCTGTCTCATTTGATTGTAACAAAAGGGTCGGGCCGATTTACAATGCGAATCCGTTGGCATTGGCCCGTGAAGATGTTGTCGGGCCCTTTTCCATTTCATGTGATAATGTTCAACATTCGACTTGTTTTAGTCTAGAGATGTTATGGAACCAATATATAAAATCGGCCCAAAAAATTAAGAACAACTCGAACCATTATTAAGGGAAAAAAACAAAATCGATTGAATTAGTGGAAGCTCGATTCAGTTACAGAACGAGAACGCATGAAGTTGGAGAGAAGTGTTCTTCAACAAACGATAAGTCATACCTTCTGCGCAAGGTTGAGATTGTGAATTTAGTATAAGTTGAGATAGTTGGATATGCATTTGAAACAGTATTTGTAGGGTTTAGTTTGCTAGTCACTCGAAATGTATAAATTCTCTTCAGTGAATTTTGAAACTCTAATCCTATCACCAGCTTATTATTTTATCAGATGTATAGATAGTTAGTTAAATATCCTGACAACAGGTTAATGTTGGTCATTTGTACGAGATCGCGTCTCTCGGGTAGAAGGACGGCTGTGTCAACAATATTTAAACACCGAAACCTTTGCTTTGGTAGAGTAACTATAAATAAGGGTTAATATCACGAAAAATCCCAAACTAGTATACCTGTGAAAAATTTATCCCAAACTAATTTCTAACACGAAAAACCCCAAACTGTTTAAACTTGTGAAAAATTTAGTTTTGTTAGTTTCCGTTAAATTTTACTGTCAAATTGCTGAGTTGGATGACACGTGGCAGTTGACAGATATACTAGTTTGAGGATTTTATCCTCCGTTTGTCACAGGTTTACAGGTTTGTGGATTTTCGTGGTATTAATTCATTGTTACAAGTGTACCAGTTTAGAGTTTTTGGTGATCAAAAAATTAGTTTGAAATAAATTTATCACAAGTGTATCAGTTTGAGATTTTTGGTAGTCAAAAAATTAGTTTGGAGTAAATTTGTCCTAAATGTATCAGTTTGGAGTTTTTCATGCTATTAACCCTATAAATAAGTGGTTCAATTCTAGCTAGGAAGGTTTGACTAAAAAACAGAAAGATACCAAAAGCAATGCTTACATCAAAGTTCGAGAAATTAATGACAATCTAAAGATAAACACTGATGCTTCTTACGTGAAGGCGTCTTCGACGGGAGCAATTTCATGCTTGATCCGATACGATTCGGGAGTTCTCCGCGACGGTTTTGCCAGATCTGTTTCGGCTTCGTCCACTGTTCAGCTACAAGCCCTAGCTCTTCTCGAAGGACCGAAGCAAGTGCAGAAGAGAAAAAGCGAAGCTGTTCAGTTTGAGTTAGATTGCTTGGCAATAGTCAATGCCATCAAGAGTTCACATAAGCCTTTGTGTGAAGCCACTGCACTGGGTGGCTAAAGGCTAGAGACAAAATGTCTTTTCCTCAAATTAGGTTGCCAACCAGAGAGGTGTGCAAAACGGACCGTCAAATCAGGGCCAGGACCAGGATCACCTGTTTGGTCCGGTTATCAAGAGTTTCGATTCGGTTCGGGTTCAAAATAGGTGTACAGTGGTTCGATTCTCGGTTCCAAAGGAAATCGAACCAGACTGATTATATATATTTTATTTTTTCAAAAAATTAGTAAAATGTGAACTAAACCCTAAGTAAAGCACGTTTATTGATTCGTCTTTTTAATTTGAGGATCATTGCATACATATCACTTAATTCAATATGAAAAGATGTAGTAGGAAAAAAAACGTAACCGGTTCCCGTTTCTAGGACTAACCGGTCCGGTCCCCGGTTCTCAATTTTGGGAACTGATCTTCTTGGTCCGGTTCCCGGATCTACCTCCAAGGTAGAACCGGGAACCGATCATCCCTATTGCCAACCCCCTGCAAGACCTTTGAAATTTACATTGTCTTGATGTCCCTTCGATGGGCTTTCTTGGTTAAGTACTCCTTATTCAATAAAATTAGTTTTTCTGTCAAAAGAAAAATTATGACAATCCGAATAATGCAATTACAGGACAAATAACGCAGAAATACGCAAGTAGTTCAATTCTAATCGTCCAATTTACCTTTTGCAAACAATTCCCTTTGATGTTCTGGTTCTTTTGAAGCTGTGCTCGTTCTCTGGATAAACCTTGTGCACCTTCCCTTTGGAATTCATTGGCAAGTCCCCGAAACACACCGTGTTCGGAACCATTGCCGCCTTTTGCAGCCGCTCCGCGCGCGCAAAACTCTACGATCTCCTCGGCGTTGGAAAACCTCCCTTCCTTCAACTTCACAAATGCGCATGCGACTTGCCCCGCAACGACGTCATTTTGAGCAACAACGGCGGCTTCCGCAACTTTCGGGTGACTCAACAAGACGGCTTCTATGTCCAATGTGCTGATCACCTCCTAACCGAATGTTAAATTAATGTTTCGAATTTGAGCCGTTTTACGGAAGTCGACTCGATTTTGATAAGTCTTCGATTTCAATCGTGGAGAGCTTTCTCGCTAAAAGACGAAACATGGGCACACTTTACTGTGGCCTAATATCCTAAAAAATCTCTAATTTTAGCTCTTATCTCAATTTTACCTTTTATCTCATAAAAAACCTCCAACTTTAGGTCAGGTCTCAATTCTACCTTAAAATTTTTTTTGTCCCATAAAAAACCCTCAACTTTAAGTATAGTACTAATTTTACCCTCAATTTTTTTGTCTCATAAAAAATCTCAACTTTAGGTCCAATTTCAATTTCACTATAATTTTTTTTGCCTCATATTCATTAACCCTCCGTCAAAATCGCCCTTAGGGATTTTGCGCTCTCATGCTTAGGAATGTTCCATCTCTTATGATCAAAGAGCTTGCGCTCAATTCGTTTAAACAACGGGTGCTTGGGAGTTTTTCATTTCTCGGTTGTCAACAAGCAATTTCGGATGGACGGTTAATGGGGGCAAATGTGCAACTGAAGTAAAAGTTTGTGATTTTTTATGATATTGTAAAGATTTTAAGGTAAAATTGGGATTAGACGGTAAAATTGGGATAAGACCTAAAGTTTGGGGTTTTCATAGGACAAAAAAAAGTTATGGTAGAATTATGACATGATCTAAAATTGAGGATTTTTTATGAAACAAAAAAGGTTTATGGTAAAATTGGGACAAAAGTTAAAGTTTGAGGTGTTTTAGGGTATTAGACCCACACTTTATGATATCTATTTCACCTGTGGGGGCAAAAAGGTCATTGTGAGAGAAAGAAAAGAAGAAGAAGAAGAAGGGTTTTGTTTATTATTTCTTTTGACCGAGGAGCGGCATGCATACGAGGGAAATAAGACTTTGTGGATCCCTCTTTCTGAACAACCGCATGGCGAAAGGCCTAGGTTTTGTTGGTTTCCGTTGGTCTTCAGCGAGGAGCCGAGCCGCACGAGAGAAAGGAAAATAAAAGGTAAATATAAGGGTTTGCTTTTGGGTTTTTCTTTTGAGTTATTATAACGAAAAATCTCAAATTGGCACCTACGATAAATTTATCCTTGTGACAAGTTTACCATCCGTTAAATTGGATTAATACCACGGAAAATCACAATTTAGTAAATTTGTGACAAACAGAGAGGTAAAACCTCAAATTGGTACACACGTCAACTATCATGTGTCATCTAACTCAACAATTTGACGGTAAATTTAACGAAAACTAACAAGGGGATAAATTTGTCACAAGTGTACCAGTTTGGATATTTTGGTTGTGAAAAAATTAGTTTGGGGTAAATTTATCACAAGTGTACCAGTT